AAGGGGGTAAATTTGAAATCATTTAGCCATAAATGAAATTTCACTTAAATAAGTAAAGTTAGGATTCAAAGTCTTTGGTAAAACCGAAATGTTATACCATCAGAAGTTCAAAACTTAAGAAAACAGTACATCCATCAAATCTTAAATTCAAAGTCTTTTGTGAGACAATGTTTTTCTAACATCTTCAGTAATTTTCTAGTTTCCTCCTCCAAAGAAGCACAAAAACCATCACCACCACATGCCTGAACTATGTACTTTTTACTTTTCACATCAGTGGAAATAAGAGTCTGTAAATCATTTGTATCTTCCCACTGGTTTTGCCAGTAAGTACTGAGTCACTCAGGAGGTGACCGTATCTACTGCCTGGGCCTAATTTATAAGTGAAATGGTGGGCTTAAAGTGTATCAGTGAATTAATGTAAATTAAATATGGGGTGTCTGGGTGGCTCAGTCAGTTGAGCATCCGACTAAGGCTCAGGTCATGATCTCATGGTTCGTGGGTTCGAGCCCCACGTCAGGCTCTGTGCTGACAGCTCAGAGCTTGGAGCCTGCTTCTGATTCTGTGTCTCCCCCTCTCTCTGACCCTCCTCCGCTAATGTTCGGTCTCTCTCTCAAAAATAAATAAAGGTTAAAAAAAAAATTTTTTTTAATATACTTAGGTAACTCATAGCAGTGCTAATGTGATATGATGTACAAGGCTTAAAATATTAAATATTTTTTAGTTCTATTGAGGTGTAATAGGGATACAAGAGACTACACATACTAAAACATACAATTTGAGGGGCGCCTGGGTGGCTCAGTTGGTTAAGCATCTGACTTTGGCTCAGGTCATGATCTCACAGTTCATGGATTTGAGCCCCACGTCGGGCTCTGTGCTGACAGCTAGCTCAGAGCTGGAACCTGTTTCAGATTCTGCAGCTCCCTCTCTCTCTCTGATCCTTCCCTGCTCACACTGTTTCTCTCTCTCTCTCTCTCAGAAATAAATAAAAAACATTTAAAAAAATTTAAAACATACAATTTGGTAAATTTTGACATGTATATACAAATTTACTTCTGAAAATCCCAATCCTTCTCCCCTGCCAAAAAAGTTAAATAGATGTGCATCATTTGAGAAAAGTACTTACCTTCATGTAATTCACAATCTTAGCAAGAACGCCAAACTTATATCCAGAGCTTCCTGACAGAGCTTTCAAGTTAAATGATCCATTGCTATGATCTGTAAATGAAGTTCAAAAAACAATTATAACATATTTCAATTAGATTTGATTATTACTTTTCAGCAGCTAAGATTTTTACTCTAGTAAAATATTTCTTGTTTTGAGTTTTTCCACCCAGTGTATTCTACCCTGTAAAATTTTGGTGAAAAATTCAAATCCTTGAATGTATAATAAATTTATCAATTTCTGCACTAAGAATAGGAAACAAATGTAAATAATTCAAAAGCATTAAAATACATTTCTTCTGTAAGTACCTCTGTCTCATTCTTTCCTTCATTCTGATTAGAACTCCCCCCAAGATTAGAGGCATGGCTTTTTTCTTCCGCTGAGAGACAGAGAGGAGACAGACAGACAGACAAAGCCAGCCAGCCAGGCACCCTAGAGGCATGGCTTTTTTTTTTAAAGTTCATTTATTTATTTACTTTTAATTTTTTTTAATGTTTATTTTGGAGACAGTGAGAGAGACAACAAGAAGGGGAGGGGCAGAGAGAGAGGGAGACACAGAATCTGAAACAGGCTCCAGGCTCTGAGCTGTCAGCACAGAGCCCGACGTGGGGCTCTAACCCACGAACCATGAGATCATGACCTGAGCCAAAGTCAGACACTTAACCGACTGAGCCACCCAGTTGCCCCTCAAATTGTATGTTTTAATATGTGCAGTCTCTTGTATGCCTATTACACCTTGGTAGAACTTAGTCGGTTGAGCATCCAACTTTTGCTCAGGTCGTGATCCCAGGGTTGTGTGTTCAAGCCCCACAGCAGGCTGTACACTGAGCACCGAACCTACTTAAGATTCACTCCCTCTCTCTCTCCATACCTCTGCCCCTCTCCCCCCAACAAAAAAAAATAAAAAATAAAAAAGAAAGAAAAAAAGCACACAAAAGAACACTAGAAAAACATTTCAGAAGTACACATTCTATTAGCAAACCATAAGCTCAGATACAAAGTTTCCAAGTGGCTGATTCACAAAGGAAGAGGTTAAATAAAAAGCAGGAGTGGGGGTGTAATCTCTGACACCAGTTTGGAATAATAATTTAAACAAAAGAATGCATTAGAACCTTGCAAGTCAAATGTAACAATTGTCAGAGATCCAAAAGAATAGCTTTTTCCCCCCAGAGAATAGCTTTTAGATGGCAACATAATACTTCAAGATTAGTTCATAAAGATGCTTTACTAAATATGCTGCTTTGAGACTAAAACAAGATTTGATATACAACATTCCTTTAAAAATCGCTGTTATAATTTTGACAACTTAATTGGCACATTAAAGTCTACTGTTTCCAAAAATACTATGAATGCCTTACAGGTGTGCTTTCACATTATTTCAATTATGAAATATTACCTACATGGTTCATTTTCCCAAGATGTTCAGGACACTTTAACAATAACAGCAATAACATTTACTGAACACCTACTTTTTGCCAAGTGCATGCTAAATATTTGATTTTCTCATTTAATCCTTCCCAAATATCCTGTCCCCTTTTAAGCATAAGAAAACTGAGTAGGAAGTAGAACACCACAGATTCAAATGCAGCTGTAAGAAAAAAAAAATGCAGCTGAAGACACTATGATACTGCCTTGTATGAGAGTCATTAACAGGGCACCTGGGTGGTTCAGTTGGCTAAGCATCTGACTTAAGTTTGGGCTCAGGTCATGATCTCACAGTTTCGTGAGTTTGAGCCCCGCGCTGGGCTCTGCATGGACAGTGCAGAGTACAGAGGCTGCTAGGGATTCTCTATCATTCTCCCTCTCTCAATGCCCCTCCCCTGCTCACACGGTCTCTGTCTCCCTCAAAATAAATAAATAAGCTTAAATTTAAAAAAAGAATTATTAACTAGCTTTTAACACAGACTATTCCATCCGAACTGGCTCTTATTCTGTCAGAGTATAAAAATTAATAAGTGCAGATTTAGTATTTTCTTAACTTTGGTAAAATATTAAGTTTATCCTAGTGATGAATCACTAAATTCTACTCCTGAAATCATTATTATACTATGTGTTAACCCAGACTTAAATTAAAAAAAGGGGGGGGGGCACCTGGGTGGCTCAGTCAGTTAAGCGTCCGACTTTGGCTCAGGTCATGATCTCACGGTCAGTGAGTTCGAGGCCCGCATCAGGTTCTGTGCTGACAGCTAAGAGCCTGAAGCCTGCTTCAGATTCTGTGTCTCCCTCTCTCTCTCAAAAATGAATAAATGTTTAAAAAAATTTGTTTAAAGAAGAAAAAAGAAAAATTAAAACAAAGTTTATCCTATACCCCTATATAAACTAAGTGGGAAAGCTATGAAAATCAAATGACGCTATGTTAAGGATATGCACTATACAAATGTTCAATCATGAACTACATGCAGTTTTGTTTATCATGGAGTCTTAAACATTTAGCTCAGTGCCAGGCAGAGTAAACACTCAGTAAATAATAGCTAAATGAATGAATGAAGGTAGTAAGAGTATTTCTGTGTACTCCTTTATGGTCCAAGAAAATAATTCACTAATTTATCTATTATTTTATTTATTTATTTTTAAATATTTGTTTGGGGTGAAGGGGCAGAGATAAATGGAGACAGAGGATCTGAAGCAAACTCTGTGCTAATAGCAATGAGCCCAATGCAGGGCTAGAACTCATAAACCGTGAGATTATGACCTCAGCCAAAGTCAGACGCTTAACCAACTGAGCCACCGAGGTGCCCCTAGCTCTTAATTTAAAAAATAATGTGACCTATAAAATAAAGCCTGCATAGCAAGATTTATCTAGCCTGCTATTGCTATAATAGCCTCTCCATAATGTATAACCTTGATACTGTTATGCTTGAACCACACACAACTCTAAATAATATTTCATAAATACAAATTATCTTTAATGCATTGAAGTTGTGGATTCTTTTGCCATTTTTAAAAAATTTTTTTGAGTATAACTGACACACAATGTAAGTTTCAGGTATACAACACAGTGATTCAAATTCTCTATAGTCTACACTACGCTCATCCCAAGTGTAGCTACCCTCTGTCACCATATAACACTATTATAATATTAACTATATTCCCTATGCTGTACCTTTTACTCCTTTTTTACCATTTAAATTTCACAGAATGATTCTTTTTAATGTTTTATGTATTTGTTTTGAGAGAGAGAGAGAGAGTGAGAGAGCGAGCAGGGGAGGGGCAGAGAGAAGGAGAGGGAATCCCAAACAGGATCTGTGTTGTCAGTGCAGAGCCCAATGTAGGGCTCGAACTCATGAACTGTGAGATCATGACCTGACCTGGGCCAAAATCAAGAGTCAGATGCTTAACTGACTTAGCCACCCAGGCGCCCCATCTCACAGACTGATTTTTTAATGTAGGTGGTTTACCTACCAAAACTAACCCTATCCCAACTAGTAGAGCTGAAAACCTTATTTGTTTTCCCTTAGAATTTCTCCTAAATCAAACCACCACATGGAAATAATCACATCCAGAAGGCAAGATTTATATAGAACACAAGTACTGAAAGAAAATACCATTTATGAGATTTTATGCCCACTTCCGGGAGGAAATACCAAGCTGGTAAACCTGGACTGTTTGTTTCCTAGGTTACTACCTCTCTCAACATTACCTTCTAGCCCTAGCAGTGAAATACTCACTGATAGATCCGAAATTTTATGGGTTAAACCCTAAGGAATCACCAGTTCGTTACCAACTCAAATTCCTTTGCAGAAATTTATCTTAAGGACAAAATATAAGGCAAGAAAAAGAGGGGACAGTTGATATCCCAGATAGCTCTATTCAAGTTTATGAATGATTTACACTTAAGGGTGGCAGGACTTAATGCAAATGAACGAAGAGGAAACTGTCAGCTGCATTGTGCTTCAACCAATAGAAGCACAGCTCCATCTTGGATGTGCACTGGACTGCATTACAAACAGACGATACCATCGCTTCAACAGCAGCCTTCAGACAAGAGGTAGGTTTATGCGAGCTTTTGCATTTAGTAATACACGTCCTTGTGATGTAATTTAAAAAACATTTTACTGAAAAAACCAAGCAGAAAGCTTTGTTCCTACTAAAGACAAAAAAAGGCACTGTATTCATTTTGCTGCTTGGTAGGATTTTATTATGAAAATGTGAAGACTGCCTTGTGCTATTTGATAAGCACCCTTACCATCTGTGCCTTATGGAAAATTCATGAGATTTTCTATGAACCTGATCTATATCCAGACCTTAGAGTAAACCGTAAGCATTTAATGGTAAGTGGTTACTTGCTAATTTATTTTCTCTGAGCTATTTCATTTCAGCAATTTGGTCTGTCTTAACAAAGGATTTTTCTTAAAGAAAAATCTAGACTAAAAGCAAATCCTGGATTAAAGCTTTCTGATATATGTGCAAATTATACTGGCTAGTAAAAAGCAGTCACTTACAAGAAAGTTTGTTATATTTGTTATATTTTAACAAATACGAGAAAATAGTTGAAAACTGTTTGACTTTGAGTACAGATGCAGAGAATGCTGAGAAATTATCATGATTGTGATTTTTACATAAAAATAAAAGGACCATAAAGGTTATCATTATACAGGCTGCATTATACGCTAACCAAAAAGATCAATTTGTAGAGCTTCTGACTTCCTTAACATTTTAACTAAAATAATTCCTTACAGTTAAATTTTTAAATTTGTTTTACTGTAATACACAAGTCAGTCTACTATTAAATAACCTTCTTAAATAGGCTTTCATTTTTTATATGCCACAAAAATATCTACTTATAACCATATTTTAATATAATGTTAAAATTATTCTTAAACTGATCCTCAAACACATAGCAGGTCTTTTTAATAAACTACATTGTAAAATACAAAGATGTTTTAAGAAGAACTGGTTAAGGGAGGAATATATGGTACCTCTCAAGGTAGGTATTAAGATTATTTTCATGGCTCAGAGTAAACTATTCATGTCTACTAAAAAATCAGTATCAACTACTATCTGAATTTCTAGTTTTATAATAGTCAAGCATGAAAATATCATTACTTAGTAGGTGCTGGAGTTCCAGGATATTACCTACACATACTGATCTAAAGATTCAACTGCTGCCCTTTTCTTTGCTGATAAATTTATTTAAATTTTAAAAGACTATTTTCATAATTTTTATTCATTCCATTTCTTATTCAGCATTCAAAAGCATGAGCAAAGCATCCCTTATAAAGCCCAAAGGTTGCTCTAAGAAGATATTCTATCTCCCCAGGTTCAGCACAATGGGGTTAATTACCTAGAAAATATTCCTGCTTGCTGTACAAAATATGGGAGCCAAAAAAGTCTTAGATTAAAAAAAAAAAACCAACAACCTTGTCAATTAAAACAGTTTACAATTTACCTGAAATTTCAGTTACAAATTTCAGTTACAAATACTCTCCCCTATTATTAGCTCTATAATCAGTCTACATCTTCCTGGTGCTGTACCTATAGTTAGCACTGATGCAGATTCACTGCTCTTTCACCAAACTGACCAGACGCATGGCCTATCTCAGAAAGGCCCAGGGCTGGGCGCACCGCTCTATATCTAGAGGCCAATATGATTAATTGATCATATTTCAAAGCGATATGCTTAAAGGCACTAGAGAATTCAACTCAAGGGTTTTAACATAATTAGAACAAAAGCATAATTTTAGTCTGATCTGACAATTCAAGGTTCCAGAACACTTCCAAGTCCTATACCCATAAATATTTCACTAGGGCCTTCTGAAATGGGAGGGGAAAAAAAGGTGAACAGACCAAAAATTAACTAAAAAAAATACAGTATTTACTTTAATACTCCTCATTCCTATAATGAAATTTTAAAGGGGATGAAGATTCAAAAGAGTACACTTTTTTTTTTTACCATTTACCCTTCTTTTTGCATAAAGCATGTTTACAGTGGGTGCTTGATATAAATTTACATTTTAATTTCAATAGTCTCAGAGTATGAGAAAATCCTAATAATAATACTTTCCTGCATGTCTAATTATGTCTTCTCCATCAAAGTAAGTTTCAGATTTTACCCTAAATTTAGCAAGAAAAATTGCTAGAGCTATACTGTACTTAAAAATAAACCACATTAAATTTAAGGTTGAAAATGATCCTGTATTTCACAGTTTACTTTTTTCAGATATGCCCAGACACTAAGGAGAGAATGTTTTGAGTTGCTCATCAGTTATCAATATACTCACATGAGAGGCAAACTGTCACCATTTACAACATAAACTGTCATCATTTATGACATGTGTATACTCTTCCTTAAACTGCTTAGACACTTCTAATCAAAATGACACTGTTTAGTGATTCTAGTTTTAATTTTTTAGAAGTAATCCAGAAAATTCAATAAATGTATTAAATAGACACATAACACAACAGACTTTGAAAACCAAAGGCAAGGAATACTTTTAAAACATATTAGTTTGGGTTTGGATAAGTACTATATTCAAATGGTTCAAAAACTAAAATATAACAAGATATACCTTGAGAAATCTCATACACGTGCCTACTTCTCAGCTCTCCCCTCCAACCAACCCGACAAGTAAGTAATCACTGTTATCTCTTATATATCTTTCCAAAATGTTTGCACAGATACAAGCAAATAAAAATATGTATTATTTCCCCCATTCCTTTACATACTGTCCTGCATCTTGCTCTTTTCATTTAACAGTGATTCCACCTAAAAATCGTTCATTATCACTACAGTTACCTCCTCACTCACACATAATATTCAATTGTATGGATATACTATATTAATCTTAACCAGAAGAAAAGGTCATTGATGGGTACAAGATAACTTCAAATAACTGAATTTAGTTTATGTCTGACTGCCTGCCCCTGCCTCTTCCCTTCCCTCCCTCCATTCTTTTGGGGGGAGGGGAGGGGTCAAGAGGGCTTGAAAAATTTTAAACAGGTCACTTGTACCTCTAAAGTAAGTATAATATAAAGTTCCTTAAACCAACTTTCCAATAATTCTAATTTTTTTAAGTTTATTTTGAGAGAGAGAGCACAAACAGGGTAGAAGCAGAGAGAGGAGACAGAGAGAATCCCAAGCAGGCTCCACGCTGGCAGCACACAGCCTGATGTGGGGTTCAAACTCATGAGACATGAGATCATGACCTGAGCTGAAGGCAGCTGCTTAATGGACTGAACCACCCAGGTGTGCCTCCAATAATTTCAAAATTTCTATTTCATTTTGAAATAGAAACATACATTAGTCTTTACAATTTCTCAATTTTAAAGTCGATACAAATGAGAAACCCCTGGGGCCCCTGGGTGGCTCAGTCAGTTAAGCTCTGACCTCAGCTCAGGTCATGATCTCATGGTTCGTGGGTTCAGGCCCCGTGTTGGGCTCTGTGCTGACAGCTAGCTCAGAGCCTGGCGCCTGCTTTGGATTCTTTTTATTCTTCGGATTATTTTATTCTTAAAAAATAAAAATAAAAAGGAATCAGGGTGCCTGGGTGGCTCAGTCGGTTAAGTGTCCAACTCTTGGTTTTGGCTCGGGTCATGGTCTCACAGTTTGTGGGTTTGAGCCCCACATCAGGCTCCACACTAACGGTGCAGAGTCTGCTTGGGATTCTCTCTCCCTCTCTCTGCCCCTCCCTGACTTGCACACACACTCGCACTCTCTCTCTCTCAAAAATAAATAAACTTTAAAATTAAATTAAATTAAATTAATAAATAAAGAATCAACCTGAAAGGCCTTAACAGAAAGCCTAAGGAATATTCTCATCAATGCTGGAGAGGTCCTACATTTACCCAGGTAAAATTATTAGATAAGCCCTCCAGTGATTCTTCCTGCTTTTTATCTATCCATATAATAAATGGCACTGTTTTCTATTTCCTCAAAGTCCCATTCTTCTTCTCTATCTTTTATATTTGCTCTGCTTTTCGAAAAGGACCCAAAACTCATTCACACTGAAGTAAATATAACTAACAATGAGTGTTATCCCTCCCAGGAGGGTCTGCATTAGTAGTGCTAAAAATTTTAAAGGAGTTGCAAAGCTGAACATTTTCTGGGCATTTGTGTGTCTGCACACACACATCACTACTCTATTAGGAAGCGTGGGCCAAAAAGAAAAATTACTTATTCCCATTTGAGTCCATTTCTATGGGTTACTTTACTTGTGTGCATGGTGATCAAAATCAGAGGCAGCACCAACGCAGAAGACGGAGGAGGGGCCTATCAGGACATCCACATGAGGCTCCCAGGGGTACCATTTACAGTGTATCCTACATGAATGGCACCCACAACACAATATGAATGGTGCTTCCTGGAAGTCTCCAACATAGCAGTCCCACTTTCTATAAGAATGTGCTAAGAGGGGCACCCAAGTGGCTTAGTCAATTAAGCATCCAACTCTTGGTTTCAGCTCTAGTCATGATCTCACTGTCCATGAGATTAAGCCCTGAGTCAGACTCCATGCTGACAGCACAGAGCCCTGCCAGGGGATTCTCTCTCTCTGCCCCACAATGCTCATGTTCTGTCTCAAAATAAAATAAATCATTAAGAAAAAGAAAAAATAAAAAAAGGGAATGTGCTATGAAGAAAAAAAATTAAGGGATAAAAGAGGGCAACTCTAAAAGGCTGGGTCTCCAGACAAAGTTTGAAAATATTGTAAAGTACTGGGAATATCCTCACATATCTGTGTTCCCGACAATGTATTTTTGTAAGTCCCAGAAAGAATAAAAGCAATTCAGTTACTATCCATTAGTCTGCTGTCCCTTGTTTCAAAATGAAGGATCACCAAAGGATTCTTAAATCCAAAAAGAAAGAATGAATTTAAGCCTTGACTTCTGGCCTCAGATTTTTTTTTTTGAAAGAGAGAGAACAAGAGCACATGCACGAACAAGTGGGATAGAGACAGAGGGAAAAGAACGGAGAGAATTTTAAGCAGGGTCCATGCCCAGCACAGAGCCAGAGTCAGGGCTTAATCCAAGGACCAGTGAGATCATGACCTGAGCTGAAATCAAGAGTCGACCACTTAACCGAATGAACCACCAAGGTACCCCTCAGATCATCAATTTAATCTTCAAAAAACACAAAGAAATCCATCCAGAGAGGTGCAGTTGCTTGCCAAGCAAATATGATTCAAAGAAAACAAAAACCTTTGGTGTGCCTGGCTGGCTCCATCAGTAGAGCATGTGACTCATGACCTCGAGTTGTGAGCTCAAGCCCCATGTTGGGCAAGGAGTTCACTTAAAAGTAATAAATTACAAAAAGAAAACAAAAACCTTGGAAAGTATCAGTTTATCAACTTCAAAGTTTTAAAGTTACATTTACAAAGAAAACAAAGAAACTAAAGGAATTATACTGTTATGGCTTTTGGTTTTAATTCACTTTTTCATCTTTGTTGGTGTGAAAATTACATGCTGGCTATGTTTAAAAAAAGAATCCTCACCTTTTAAGAGATATACGCTGAGTATGTCTAGGAAAAATGATAATGTCTGGGATTTGCTTCAAAATAACCTAGGGGCACGGGGTGGCACAGTCAAAGAGCATGCAACTCTTGATCACAGGGTTGTTGGTCTCAAGCCCCATACCGGCCATACAGATTACTTAAGTAAATAAACAAACTTGAAAAAATATAATCTATGGGGTGGAAGCAAATGGGTAAACGTACAGATGAACTGGTAACTGAAGCCGTATTAGGAGAATACACGGGTTCATTACACTCCTACTCTTCAACTATCTTCAAGTTTTATTTAATTGAAATATACTCTCATACACAAGTATCTCCAGCATTCAGAAAACTGTCTGGGACACAGTAGGTAATCAATAGAGATATGTGTTTACAAGAATGAATGAAAGTCTATTTACAACTATGAAGGAAAGAAAAATCACACTAAATAAGTCATCTCTTTAATAAAATAAAGCTTTCAAACGGACAGCAGTCATTTAATTAAGGAAGTGGAACTATATTTTTTCTGTTAAATTTTTCTGAAATATTTTCCAAAATTTTCTTAGTATATAAGCATTTTATAATTTTTTTTTAATTAAGTTTCAAGAAAAGGCACCTGGGTGGCTCAGTCAGTTAAGCATCTGGTTCTTGGTTTCAGCTCAGGTCATGATCTCACAGTTCATACATTCGAGCCCCTTGCTGGGCTCGGCACTGACAGTGCAGAACCTGTTTGGGACTCTCTCTCTCTTCCCCTCTCTGTCCTTCCCCATGGACATGCATGCTCACTCTCTCAAAATAAACTTAAAAAAAAAATGGTAAAATATTCATACCCATAAATTATTCAGGTATATGAACAGTTAATGCTATCATACAAAAAAAAAAAAAAATCCTGTGATTAAGGTCTCTTCACAGGGAACATGAACCTAAAATTTTATTATCCTTATTCTGAAAACTGGCATTATTTAACTTTTGTTTCTCTAATATTTTTCACTCAGCCATTACTTCTTGATTCAGGTCACCTGTCTTCGAAGAGGACCTAGGAGACAGAAATACACTGAGCCAAGAAGGTGAGAAGGATCCACAAAGGTAATGAGAAAAGCTTTCCTGGGGACAGTATGAAGAATACCACCTTAAAACACAAGATTTTTTATAGTTAACAGGTCACTGACCACTGCTTTAGTTAAATTTTAAAACAATTCAGCTGCTCCTTTTCCCCTTCTATTAGCACTTAATTTCTGTATATAAATCTTAAATGTATGTATTTGTCTAGCAAAAGACACACATAAGAAGATGTGTAGTATGAGAGCGCCTGGGTGGCTCAGTCGGTTAAGCATCTCACTCTTGATTTTCACTCAGGTCATGATTTCACAGTTCGTGAGTTCAAGCCCTGCATCAGGCTCTGCGCTGACAGCATGGAGCCTGCTTTGGATTCTCTGTCTCCCTCTCTCTCTTTCAAAAATAAATAAATAAGCATTTAAAAAATAAACATATATATAGTATGGTTTACAGAGCACACTGCCAGAAGATAAAGAAAAAATTCAAAATTACCACTGAGCATTAATTCTGGCAGAAAATAAAACAACTCATGTTACCCATATAAATTTACTAACGAATCTTAGTACTGAGACTTGAATTGACAAATCTGTAGAATTTAATTACATGCATATTCATTTTCTACCTTTTTACAGATTCAAAAGAACCAATACAAGAAGTATATAATCCCTAAGAATGGCCTCCCTGAGCTCCAGCCTCTGGAATGAAACAACTACATCTGTTTATCAGTACCTGGGTTTTCAAGTTCAAAAAATTTACCCTTTTCATGATAACTGGAACACTGCCTGCTTTGTCATTCTGCTTTTATTCATATTTACAGTGGTATCTTTAGTGGTGCTGGCTTTCCTTTATGAAGTGCTTGACTGTTGCTGCTGTGTAAAAAACAAGACTGTGAAAGACTTGAAAAGTGAACCAAACCCTCTTAGAAGTATGATGGACAACATCAGAAAACGTGAAATTGAAGTGGTCTAGCACTCTATCTAAGATGAACAAAATCTCTGAAAATAGCCTCCAACTGCTGAGAAAAAAAAGGAAAATTTTCTGAGGCCAGCTCTTATAAAATTGACTCTGAGGGGTGCCTGGTGGTTCAGTCGATTAAGCAACCGACCAGCTCGCATCATGATCTCACAGCTCATGAATTTGAGCCTGGCGTCAGGCTCTGTGCTGACAGCTCAGAGCCTAGAACCTGCGTCAGATTCTGTGTCTCCCTCTCTCTCTGCCCTCCCCCTGCTCGCACTGTTTTCTCTCTCACACACACAAAAATAAACATTAAAAAAAAATTTTAACTGACTGATTCTAAATAATTAAAAGATTTCTAATAGAAGGGAAAAACAAGTTAAATATGCACTTTTTGTGTATGTATCCCTTTCATTAAATATACATGAAATCTTCACAAATGTGAATAAGTTAACAATGTACTTAAAATGACACTTCAAAAACTGGATAAAAGATTCCTAGATTTCAATATTAAGCAGCAAAATGTAAGCTAGAAAACACAAGCAAGATCAAATAATTCTGACCAAAACAATAACTACCCTCCATGTGTCTTGGTAATAAATGTGCTATTTAAAATTCTTACCTAAATCCAAAGTAAAATAATTCCACTTATACATAAAATCCCTACTTTATACACTTTTTAAAGACTTAGGTTTTATGTAAAGATTAGTGTGAAAAAAAGTATCAAAATAGAAAGGTCACAAGTATACTGGCATAGAATTTTCCTAAAACGGACCTACTGTTTAATAATAAATACATTGTATAAGAAGGACCAAGCTGTTTTCAAACTAAAACTTTCTACACCCCTAAACTGTATTTCTTGAGCTTTTCCTTTTGTTACTCATATTCATATTCTCAAGGGCTAAAGATACCCAATGAAGAAAAGACTGCCCAAAAAAAAAAAAAAAAAAAAGACAAAAAGATAGGACCATGTAACAGCCGTTGAATACTTTAGTTTCAGGGCGCCTGGGTGGCTCAGTCAGTTAAGCGTCCGACTTCAGCTCAGGTCATGATCTTGCAGTTTGGAAGTTCCAGCCTCATGCTGGACTCTATGCTGACAGCTCAAAGCCTGGAGCCCTCTGTGTCTCCCTCTCTCTCTCTCTGCCCCTCCCCCGCTAGCACTCTGTCTCTCTCTCAAAAATAAATATTTAAAAAATTTTAAAAGAAATACTTCAGTTTTATTTCTTGGAATTACAAGGGCTGTAAAGATATTATATTTTATAACCCTAATCCTTTTGCTACCACCCATGAGCAAACCTAAGCATGCTCTTAACCACTACAACTGCCCTTCACCAGAAATATGGCTCCTGGAAATCTACCCTGAGAAATTAGTTGAAAAGAAAAAAGCTCAAGATACAAAGATATTTGTAACAGCATTACTCAAAATAACAACAACCAACAAAATGGAATTAACAGCCTTTAAATATGACACGTCAACCTAGATTAAGAAGCTTCTGAAAATTAAGGCAAAATAGAAAATATCTTATATATGAACTGAGAAAATATATATCTATCATTCTCAATTTAGAGAACCCTGTCAGTCTGAAATCCCTTTTACATAAAATATTTTTTTCTAACGTTAGAAATACACACAAATAATGTAACCAACTTACAAAGGACTTGTGAAACCTGGTATACTCAATACTTAGGTAAACAGGAGCTATTCTGAGCACCATTAAAACCACATTTTGATCAATGGTAAACTCGGAGTCCTTACCATAGATAGAAAGCCTACAGATCCTTTAATTACTAAATTTCTTGATAATGAACACTATTAACTTTTCCCTACCTTACGCTGTAATTTATTAGCCATTCAACAAACATGTATTGAGTGCTTCTATGTGTGAAAGATTAGGTTACAACAACAAACAATCATGCAATTGCAATGACACACAACAGCTTCATCAGAAATAGTGAGCGCTATGGGAATCAAAGGCTAAGCACCAAATTCGAATAGGAAAGTAGAGACAATAGGACTTTTATGCTGCAATCTAAAAGAGGAATAGGATTTACTCACAGGAAAGAGTGAAAGAGCGAAGAAAGAATATTCCAGGAAGAGAATATAATCTGGGTGAAGGTCAAGAGGCAAAAGAGAGTAAAGCATGTTAAAAGAGCTACATACAGGCCAGTATTACTAGGAGAGAGTACAAGAAAAACAATGAATATGGGTATAAAAGGTAACGGAGACTAGAGCAGGTAAGGCATGCAGATGGCAGGAAAAGCTAGGCTTCATCTGAAGAGCAATGATCATCAGCCTTACAGAGACTGATGTTACCAGACTGATGATTAGAAAAATTACTGACTTCTGTACAGAGAGTGGACAATAAAGAATTTAAGCTAGGAAACCTTGTAAGCACCTAATCAGGCAATCCACTCATAGTGACCCCAACTCGGGTGGTACGGTATAGTCTTCCCTGTGTACACCCAAAATTTCCAGCTCTCCCCTGAGCACTTGGAACCCCTTGTGGCTGGGTACAGCCCTGTGACTAGCTCTAGACAATGAGTTGTAAGAGAAAGTGATGTCTCACCTCAAGGCCAGAGGATTTTAACTGCCAAGCAAGATCTTCCAGAGCTCTTTTTCCCCTCTGGTACTGAAACCAGTAACTGGAAATACCAGCTACTCTACCAGCCTGGGTCCTTCAGTGACTCTAAGGAGCTAAGACCCCTGCCAACACATGTTAAACACGGGGTATGAGAGAGAAACAAGCTTTTGTTTTTTTAAGCCATTGAGGTTTTGGTTAAAAAGAAAAAAAGCCACAAGCCCCAAATCATGTCACTTTAACCAAGTTCCAAAACCATTACGTATTGTGCCTAATACATAATCTAACTAAAGTTTCAAACTCCCTCTGAAATGTAGTCTTAAATGATCAGTCAGGAATTTTTCCATTAACACAAATGCGTATGCCACATGGACCCTCTCCACCAAAGGAAGATGAGGTCATCTGCGTAAGAGTCCTGGCTTTTCCCCCCTAGAAAGCAGCTTGGCCTAAAACAATCTTTTTCTTTTGCTAATAACTTTCTTGCCTTCACCTTCCTGCTATAAGAACTGTCCATTTGGTATAACTCCTTGGGATGCCTTTGTACTTGTTCGACAGGATGCTGCCTGATTCGTGAATCATTTAATAAAGCCAATTAGATCATCAAATTTACATGGCTGAATTTTGTTATTTAGCAGGGGCAAAGACAATTCTTAAGTAGATCAAAGAGACTAGGTCTAAGAGTAGGTCTGTGCTTACGTTTATTTTTAAGTTTATTTATTTTCAGAGAATGCATGAATCAATCAGGGGAGAGGCAGAGAGAGAGAAAGAGGGAATTCCAAGCAGGCTCTGTGCTCAATCCCATGAACCATGAATTCATGACCTAAGCCAAACTCAAGAGTCAGATGCTTACTCAACTGAGGCACCCAGGCGCCCATGCTAATGTTTAAAACAGTGTACTGTGAATTAATTCAATGTACATTTCATTAGAATGAGACATAATCAAACTTCACGTATGTGCTAATAACAGCCCTACTTGATAAAAAGATTACCTCTGCTTTAACATCAGTTAGTAAAACAGCTTAAAAAATACCTAACAAAATGACATCCATAAAGATTACTGTTGCTACATTTTTAAGTAGGTAAATAATTTGTTGTGAAGTAAGCTGGACTGATCTTGTTTAAAAAGTAACAGTCCAAAACTAAACTAAACCCAAAATAGGCAGGAAAAAAAAGAAATAATGGTGAAGTTGAAATAAATAAAATTTTAAAAACCCAGAAAAACACAAGATAAAAATCAATGAAATCAAAAGTCGATTTTTTGAAAAGCTCAACAAAATATAAATTCCTAAAAATCAGAAATGAAAGAGGGAAGGGGTGCCTGGGTGGCTCAGCTGATTAAGCAGCTGACTTGATTCCAGCTGGAGTCAGGATCCCAGGGTCGTGGGATCGAGCCATGCTATGGCCTCCACACTCAGTGTGGACCCTGCTGGAGTATCTCTCTCTTGCTCTCTCGTTCTCCCCTCTACCTCACCACCCTACTCTTGCTCTCTAGGGGGAAAAAAAAAAATGAAAGAGGGAAGGGATATCACTAATGACCTTAAAGAAGTCAAAGGCTTGCAAGGAAATACTTTTGAAAAACTTTAGACAATGTAGATAATGAAATGGACAAACTCCTAAAAAGATACAAGGCACCAAAATTAATTCAAGAAGATAACAGATAATCTGAATAGATTTATAAGAAGAATTTCTATAAGAACTTCCCACAAAGAAAAGCTCAGGCCCAAATGGCTTCACTAGTGAATTCTAGCACACATTTAAAGGGAAAATTGTATCAAACCTTCACAGACTCTACCAGAAAATAGTGGAAAAGGGAACACTTAACCTATCATTTTATGAGGCCATAAATACCCTCACTGGCATCCAAGAAAACTACAGACTATACCCCCATAAATATAAACACATAACTCCAGTACAAAATACTAGCTATCTGAATCCCAAAACAAATACAAAGGATTATATCCATCACAACCAAGTAGGAATTTTAAAATATAATTTATTGTCTTTTTTTTAATCTATTTCTGAGAGAGAGACAGACAGACAGACAGACAGCATGAGCAGGGGAGAGTCAGAGAGAGAGACAGAGATATAGAATCCGAAGCACACTCCAGGTTCTGTGCTGACAGCCAGCTCAGAGCCTGGAGCCTGTCTAAGGATTCTGTATCTCTCTCTCTCTCTCTCTGACCCTCCCCTGCTCACGCTGTCTCTCTGACTCTCAAAAATAAATAAAAAAACATTAAAAAAAAGAAAAAAGAAAACAATTTCACTCACAGTAATATTAAAAAAAATAATACTTAGGAATAAGTTTAACAAAGTAAGTTTAAGACTTATACATTAAAAACTACGGGGGCACGTGGGTGGCTCAGTCGGTCAAGCATCTGACTTCTCTGACTTCGGCTCAGGTCATGATCTCACGGTTCGTGAGTTTGAGCCCCACGTCAGGCTCTGTGCTGACAGCTCAGAGCCTGGAGCCTGCTTCAGATTCTGTGTCTCCCTCACTCTCTGCCCCTCCCACACTTGCATTTTCTCTCTTTTTCAAACAAATAAACATTAAGAAAATGGAAAAAGAAACCTACAAAACATTACCAAAGAAATTAAAAACCTAAAT